ACAATTTCTCTATGTATTTTCTAACGTCTTCGATAAAACCTATAAACTAATGTAGGATTTCTACCTGATTTGAAAAAAAGTAAACATTTTTTTAAATATAAAATCATTCTCCATTTTAAACTAATATTACCATTATAACCATCATTTTACAATTTCTCTTAATGTATTTTCTAACATCTTCGATGAAACCTATAAACTAATGTAGGATTTCCACCTTATTTGGCAAAAAGTAAACATTTTTTTTAAATATAAAATCATTCTCCATTTTAAACTAATACTACCATTATAACCATAATTTTACAATTTCCCTTAATGTATTTTCTAACGTCTTCGATGAAACCTATAAACTAATGTAGGACTTCCACCTGATTGGAAAAGTAACTGTTAACTAGTTTTTATATCAATAATTCATCCTTAGATATTTTCTTAAAATTAATCTAAATTTTGCAAATTCCATAAATCATTAGGAAAAGGGTATCGAGTCTAATATGTTAGATTTATAATCTTTACAATATATTTACAATATTTCTAATAATGTTGTATACCAACTTTATTTAAACTTAGTTGATCTCTGTAAATATAATTTTGTTTATTATTTTTTAAAATAACTTTCCGTGATTAAATGATATTATCTAATTACATGTTTTTCTAACCATTAGATAGTAAGTATAAACTAATTTATAGATTGAAAACTTTATAATAAATTATTATTAAATAATGGTTTTATTAAATCACACCACTGGTATTAATACCAGTTCCTTAGCTTGGATAGTCTATTTTTGGACGGAAGCATTAGCAACCCGGCTTATAATAAGAGTATTAACGTCTTGAAATCTATTAATCAAATTTGAGTCAAAATTAAATGAAATAATGTAAATAAAAAATCTAGGTTCTAAATTGTTTCAGCATAAGGCATAATTCTTTTTTATGCCTTCGAAAAGATTTTAGCTATAAAATTAATACACTGTAGTATATTTATCGAAAATATGATGATTTTAAATGTATTATCTTGCTTTGTCATGTAATTTTTGAATACGTATTAAAAATTTTATATCGATATATGCTGGTTGACCTATGATCCCTATTAATATATTTAATAATTTTCTCAGTAATTGAATTAATAAACTACTGCGCAGTGTTATTTGAGCTCAACTAAACTGCTGCACAGTGTTTCTTAAATTTTTAGGTGAATTAACGATAGACCAAAACTGTTACGCATCATTATTAAATTCTGCATAACGTTCCTCGGTCTAACAGATGATGCATCAAACAATAAACATCAGTGGATCATCTTATAGCGCAATTTTCTTCATAAGTTCTTACCATATCGAACTCTTTCAATGTTTGGTATGCTGATTTAACAAAGATCTATATCGATACAGATGCGTTCATTGAAATTTCTCAGGAAATAATAAAAACAAGAATTATACAACACCTGTGTATACTACAATCATTCAACTCAAATTTAATATATCGATATCGATAAAAAAAGTATCTGCTATGCTTTATGTTCTGTATTTTCAAATTAACCAAGAAACTGGCTTTCATAGCTCATATCTCAATGAATTTTGAAGCCATCTTGATTATTTAATAGTCAAAAGAAAGCTTAATATCTAAGTTTTCTTTTGAATATTGCCTCAAAATTTATCGAGATAATGATTTCAATCTAACGCAGATTTTAATTTTTCGCAATTAATAATATTAATTACATTAATGAAAAATTGAAAATCACAAATGTAGATGAATTAAAAGTTTAAATTTAGTGATTTAGCATTCAAAATTTACATGTTGTTGCTTCTTTGTTAGAATTAAGAAAGTTGTCAATTTTTAACGATATAATAATAGCATTGGCATTTTTTTTATTCCGATACTTAGCAATTATGAACCAACATTCCATAATTCTGGTTAATATAATGGGGCGAATATAGAAGTATCTTGCAAATAAAATAGTCAGGAGCCTTTTTTTAATTAAAGTTGTAGTCTATAACGAATATTTAAAGAACTAATTTTCTATGTGTTCATTAACAAAAAGGTTAATAAATCTTCATAGAATACGAAATTTGAATAACTTAAAAAATTGTATTTTTTATTTTTGTGAATAACACTGGTTATACACATGTTTGATCATTTAGTTTTCAATTTGTTGATCGGTAAATAACTATAGCACCTTTCATAATTCGACGGCTAATCATAAAGTATTATAAGTGTTATTAAAGGTTAATTTGTTATGTTCGGTTTAGAAAAATATTATACTCACTGGTGTTTGCATAGAATATTATACTCACTGGTGTTTGCATAGGAGATAGCATTAATTATCTTAACGTTTATCTATAAATATCCCATTGACGTTTCTCCACAAGACCATGTTGACGTTTGTCAAAATACCACTGACGTTTCTCCACAAGACTATATTGACGTTTGTCATAATCAATCCAGTATTGAGGAGTAGGTGCGGCAAGAGTATACATATTAATCATTGAAATTAGAACTAAACTGATAAAAATTAAATAAAACTTTGACATTATTTCTTTCTTTTGCAAAAACAGAACTTTAAAAGATTGCGCTTTTAATACCATGAATAGTGGCTATACCCAGACTTATGATATCTTTGATTACAGTCTGAACTATAAACAAAATAAGGTTTGTGGCAAAAAATTTTACTTTCGTAAATTAGTATACAAAGAAAATAATCGAATACCTAATTTGCGATGGCTCCGTCATTAATCTAGTTAATTAGTTAATGTTAACAAATTATGAAGCAGCTAGAAATGCCATATAGTTGCTTGAATCAATATTAACATGAAGCGAAGCATAGCTTACTATAATGCAATGATTATGAAATAACTTATTTATTTATCATTTATTTATTATTTATTTGTTTATAGGAAAGGATTAATTTTAGACATTGATAAATAGCACCATTTCAGCCATAAAATAAGTACAAATTATAAACTTGAGATTTTTTTGCACCGCCGATTTGCTTTGCAAATGCTTTATTCCAGCAGATCTTAATACACTAAATTTTAGTCACTCATGCAACCGATAATTATTTACAAATAGGAATTCACTCACAGAATCTGAATGTATTAAAGGATAATAAATAAGTTGCGCGCCACATATGTGCTACTCAAGATCAGTTTATCAAAAAAATCGTCATTATCATGTTTATCGAAGCGTCTATCGGTGAATCATATCGGGCAGTTCTGTCTGACTTACAAGTACTAAAATAGATATTGCTAAAGAACTAATTTATTATTAATTATTAATTTAAAATTACTTGCGAATGAACATAAAGTCTAAAATTCCGCGCACATATGTTTCTAAGAACGATTGGATAGTATCGATCAAACCAGGTTTCTTTGGAAACTTCCATTAAATGAATGTCTTCATATTTTAATATTATATTTTGCCTAACCCTAATCCTAAACCACAAATGTTGCTATTCGTGGTAGAATTAACGTTAATCCGTAACTTTAGTAAACATAACTCGATGATGTACAAAAGTTACGTTTTTGATGCAATATATTTATTAAAATCAAGAGAGTAACTTCGAACTTTGTCAGGTGCGACAAAAGTTCGAAGTTACTCTTGATTTTAATAAATATCTACTATCAAAAATGTAACTATTGTACGGTGCATGGAAATAGATAATCGATGTCGCAGCTGATGCTGAAATTTTGGGGTCTCTATTTAAAACTATATAACCTACTAAAACCCATCTATACACTTTAATTAATAAACCCTGACCCTAAACTCTACTTAAACTATTATATGAAGACTAAAAAAATGCACCCCCAAAAATTGTAAAAATTTAATAATAAAATAATCAAAATTTCAACATCAGCCGTTTTCAGCATCAGCGATATCAGAAAAGTTGAATGATTGTGACCCCTAGTTGATAGAATACCCCATTACAGGCAACAAATAGTAACACTAAAGTCCCTAACCCTACCTCTAACCCTAACCATAACTTTAATCCTAACCTTAACTCTAATTTCATTTTACTAGGGGCGCACCAGTGTGTACTATATATAGGGGTGCACCAAATTATAAATTTCATAAGATTTTATATAGGTAAATACTTTTATTTCTAAGCCGTTTGGACTTTCTCTGTAAAAAAAATGACTGATAGGTACATAGGTACCGAATCAAATTGTAAACAAAAAAAAACAAAAAAAAAACAAAAAATTTAGGATAAAAATATATTTTATTGGAAATAAATTATAGTTTTAATTTTTTTTTTATTTACGAATAATGCGCAAATAATGTGTAAAATAGCTAATATCATTATTAAAACGCATAAGTTAATTTTACAAAATTCATTATAACGGAACGATTAATACGTATATACAATTAATTTATTCAAATTTTTCATTTAAATTGCATGTAGTGTATATAAATTTTCAATAAAATTTTGTAATTTTGAAAACGGAACTCTTGTTTGAAAAATTTAAACTCAGTTTCGTAATTTTTTTTAGGGGTATCAGTTCGCCATAACATCGGGGGTTTTTTTTTGTTAAAAAAAAAAAAAAAAAGCTTCGGATTTATTGATTGGGCGCCGTAAGAAAAGGTGCTTTTGATGGACAGGATGGCAGTATAATTTAACTTACTAGTATTTATTTTAAGTTACGAAAATAATAAATATAGTTGGAATGTAAGATCAGCTCACGTCCCGTCAAGTATTGGTCGACTTTGCAATTTCATAACCGATAAAGGTTTACAAGCATTTGCATCAGACTTACCACGCCGCCTTACCCCAACAAAATTTTTCTAATTATCAAAATTTATTTAAGAAAAATATATCCTTTACATTAGCATTGATTGAACTGTATGCGATTATATAGCATTCGCTATTAAATAATTAAGGATAATATCGTTGTTATAATTTTCCTCAGTTATTCTCCGGTGATGTCTTACTGCACAATAAAGTATGTTGCACATAGTAATAACTGAAAGACAAAATCCCAGATAATATCATATAAAGAGCAAATTTAAGGATACTATTTCCAGTCTGAAGAAAGCTGTCCTGTTGTTTTATAAAATCTGGCAAGACGGTGAATTCTTGATTCGATCAAAATTAACTGGAATTTAGAGTCCTTGTCACTACGATTACACTCCAAGTGCTTACGAATGACAACTGCTTTCTTGATCAAGTGATAAAGGTCTTCAGGAATCTCGGGTGCTAGACCTTAAAAGAAGTAATTTAATAGCGCTACTCAATCATCAAACTTTCTTTCCTTTATTAATATTATTAAAAAAAAAAAGCCTACCATTAAGCTTCAAGATTCGAAGAATCTTATTTACAGTAATGTTTTTACCAAAATCACACGAATTTCGGAGACGCACACTAATTTGCGAGGGTGTTATGCCTTCATTTGCAAGCTTTAAATTTTGTTCACAGACGTCATTAGGCGTAATTTTCATCCACGAAGACAGCATATGTTGGTATGAAAAAGTACTTTTATCAGGAATAAATATAGACAAATTTGGTTTTAGTATTTCCCCATAAAAAAGACTAAAGGACTACATAGAATAGGAGAATGCGCTTGAAATATTTTGGTAAAAATATACAGTTTCATTTGCTAACCTAGCTTTTTTTTTTTTTTTTTTCTTAAAATGAATCGTGCGGGTAACAGTTACTACTTGTAGATCATAAAATTTTTACTTGATTTATCCTGAAAAAGTACTTAAGAATTAATGCGATATATAGTAACCAACGGTAAGTGAAAGTATTTTTATTTTTATTGACCCACCTTAAACAGTATACGCAGTGTTACTAATTTAGAAGTTATAACCCGGAAGATATTATTAATCATCGAGTATAGTTATTGGCCAAGGTAAATAAAAATATATAATAGCTGACGTAGCTAAAGAACAAGGCGATTACTTGTGGATAATCAAAAAATGATAATTTTTTTAGTGGGTTAATAAAATTAGTCAGGCAAATCAACCGATATTTTCACCCTATGGCAATTCAATTAAAAAATGTGAATACTTACTAGACAGTAATAAATTTCAATATACGAATAATAACTGAAACAGTACGGCCTATTTGAAATAATGTCGTTATACAGATAATGTATTATTATTTTTAATGATTTATTTAATTCTGCAAGCCCTTTTTCCATCACAAGATAAGTTGCACTTCTTAACATAGATGCATTATTTGTTTAACTTCTAGTGATAAAATCTGTAGGTGCTTCCCTATATACATCTCTGGCTTTGGCATGAATTATGTGTTATTAATCTAAATCACTAATTAGATCATCTATATCAATATTTCCATGTATAACCTCTTCGTTTAAACTTGAAGATTCATTGGGCTCTAACTTGGAAGGCAAAGATATCAAGTTTCCGACTTCTAAATTTGTTAAATTTTCGTTAACCAAATCTTCTAGTTCTTCCTCAACTTCTGTATCTTCTTCTTCTGCAAGTCATCCAAGAAAGAAAATGATTTTTCTTCACTGAATAAATCAGACCCATCCTCTATAGAACTTGCAATTCTATTGAAAATAGACAATAGGTCTTCTTGGCGAAGCTTTTGATCCACGTAATTAAGTTCTGATTTAGCATTCTCGACTAAAAATGAGTGTATCTAGGCCATAACCTCTAGACGTTTAATGCTTAACCTAAAAAAAAAAAAAAAAAAAAAAATAGTATTTTTAGTAATAATGAAGGGGTGAGTTAATAGAAATCAAGCAAATTTTTTATAATAAAAATTTTTATAACTTTAAACAAGAATAACTTTAAAAAAAACTTTACTAAATTTAATAAAAATTTTTTTAAATAATTTTTACGAACTTCTATAATTAATAGTGATAATCATGTAACTTCTACAAATCTGTCAAATTTGCAAATACTTTAATACTTTAGGTAAAAAATCTGCTGTAACGCTTGAGATTGCATCGATATACTGTATTCAGTATCAGGTATATAAAAATACATAGTGGTAGTAAATACAGTGCTTTTATTCTTTTTTCAAAAAATAAAGTTTTTTTTTTTTTTTTAGCGTTCTTAACCATTACTAATATTATATCTTGCCAGATAGTGATTCGGCCTTTTTCTTTTTCTTTTTTTTTTTATAAAATACAAACACAGTTTTAAAACAATTATTTGCAAACTTACAGCTGGCTTTTTTTTTCTATTTTTCTTTTTTTTTTTTTTGCTTGTTTTCAAATTTCATTTTTTTCTACATATATATATATATTTTTTCAATTTGCTAAAATGGAATATGCGGCAAATAATGAATATACTGAATATGCAACAAATAATGACGATAGAATTTCTAATGATTTAGTTAGCGAAACCGCATCATCTATACAAATTGAATCATCAAATAATAGTGGACGGCCCCCTGCAGATGTATGGGAAGAGTTTAATACTATAAATAATGGAGCAGGAAAACATAAAGGAGCGAGTTGTAGATATTGTAATCAGAAGTGGTCTCGAGGAAGAGCTCATGAAATGAAATCTCATCTTGCGCTAAAATGTAAAGGAAATGTGCCTAGAGAAATCCGACTTAAAGTACTTTAGGAGCTTCAAAGTGAGCCTATATCACCCGAATCAACTGCATTTAAAAAAAGAAAATTGGGATATTCTCAGTTGTTTGTAGATGCCTATTATGATGTGAAAGAAGCTATTAATAAAGCTAAAGAAAAAAGAGCTAACCAATCACTGATTAAATGGATTGTATATTCTGGTATTTCATTTTCAGCCTTCGACAATCCTTATTTTGAAGACTATACCAAAGCATTAAATCTTGGCTATAATCCACCCAAGCGTTCTGCCTTAGCAACATCAATTTTAGATGCAGAGGCAGCAAATATTATAATAAAAATGGATAAGGAGCTGTCTAAAGCTAAGAATTTAACTTTATGCATAGATAGTTGGTGCAGTCCATTGAAACACAGTATATATGCTTTTGTTATAATAGCAAGTGAAAGAAAACAGTATGTCTATTCTTTACGAGATTTTTCGAAGTTCACCCATTCTGCAAAGTTTAATGCTGAAAAAATAATAGAGGTATTAGAGAGTATTGGACTGAAAAAATTTACAGCAATAGTTTTTGATGCTGAATCATCGATGATGGTGGCAAAATGACAGGTTACACAAAAGTATCAACATATTTTACCCATAAGATGCATTGCGCATCATATCCAACTTATCTCTAGCAGTATCTGTAAATTACCTCATACAAAAAAGATTTTGTCAAACTGCCAAACAATTATATGCTTTTTTAGGAATTTCTACTCTGCTGGTGCCGCTCTTAGAGAAGAAATCGCATTTTCTTCTACTCTTGGTGGAAATTTGAAGTTACCAACTAAGACTCGGTGGTCAACGACATAGGATTCTTGTGAATCTATCCTACGTAATGAAGCAAATATTAAATCGGTAAAGTTTTATAATTCTGGTTTATGCTGTTGGATATAAGTGAAAATAAAGCTTCTACTGTACTTCTGTACTTATACAGATAGTGATTGGCGTCGTAATCATGGGATGCTAATTGTCACATAATACAATATATAAAAATTAACAATTAGATTGTTAATTTTTATATATTTTTGTGATCTTAATATAGTAACCAGAGTATTTAACATATGAGAAAAAACCTGTAAACCATTTCACTCACAGTGAATTCTACCCCTAAAGGACAGAATTCATTGCGATAATAATGAGTGAAATAGTTTATAGGTTTCTCTTACCATCACTCATATAGTATTATTTAATTTTGCTAATAGGTTTTAGAACAAGAGCCTCAAATTTTTATCTGTGCAAGCGCTGTAAAAAACCTAATCAATGATCGTCAATTTTGAATTGATATTGAGCAACTTAGAAATATTCTCAGTCCAGTAAAACGAGCTATAAAAATCGTAGAATTTCGAACCACCTCATTAGCTGACATTTTTGTTGAACTCATAAAAGTGGCGATCACAATCCAGAAGACGTCTGTTTTATATAATAGCCAATTAAGGCGTGATTGCATTGCTATATATAATAAGCGATGGAAAGAGTTCGACTTTGAATTGTATCTTTTATCATTTTTTTTACACCCAA